TTGTAGTGAGGAAAGAGTCTGTGTTTAGGTATAACAACAAAAGCTTAAAATTTAATTTAACCAAATGCAGAATAGTATGCAGGCCGTTGGACCTCTCAACTAATTACAAAATGGTCAACTTAAATTTTAAAATATAGAATATTTACAGTCACAAGAAAGTGTTCATTGTTAGCTGACATAAGTTAACTACCAATGACAACGAAAAGTTTAAAATTTAATTTAACCAAATGCAGAATAGTATGCAGGCCGTTGGACCTCTCAACTAATTACAAAATGGTCAACTTAAATTTTAAAATATAGAATATTTACAGTCACAAGAAAGTGTTCATTGTTAGCTGACATAAGTTAACTACCAATGACAACGAAAAGTTTAAAATTTAATTTAACCAAATGCAGAATAGTATGCAGGCCGTTGGACCTCTCAACTAATTACAAAGTGGTCAACTTAAATTTTAAATATAGAATATTTACTGTCACAAGAAAGTTTTCATTGTTAGCTGACATAAGTAAACTACCAATGACAACGAAAAGTTTAAAATTTAATTTAACCAAATGCAGAATAGTATGCAGGCCGTTGGACCTCTCAACTAATTACAAAGTGGTCAACTTAAATTTTAAATATAGAATATTTACAGTCACAAGAAAGTTTTCATTGTTAGCTGACATAAGTAAACTACCAATGACAACAAAAGTTTAAAATGTAATTTAACCAAATGCAGAATAGTATGCAGGCCGTTGGACCTCTCAACTAATTACAAAATGGTCAACTTAAATTTTAAATATTGAATACTTAAAGTCACAAGAAAGTGTTCATTGCTAGCTGACATAAGTAAACTACCAATGAGAACAAAATTTTAAAATTTAATTTAACCAAATGCAGAATAGTATGCAGGCCGTTGGACCTCTCAACTAATTACAAAGTGGTCAACTTAAATCTTAAATATAGAATATTTACAGTCACAAGAAAGTTTTCATTGTTAGCTGACATAAGTAAACTACCAATGACAACAAAAGTTTAAAATGTAATTTAACCAAATGCAGAATAGTATGCAGGCCGTTGGACCTCTCAACTAATTACAAAATGGTCAACTTAAATTTTAAATATAGAATACTTAAAGTCACAAGAAAGTGTTCATTGCTAGCTGACATAAGTAAACTACCAATGACAACGAAAGTTTAAAAATTAATTTAACCAAATGCAGAATAGTATGCAGGCCGTTGGACCTCTCAACTAATTACAAAGTGGTCAACTTAAATTTTAAATATAGAATATTTACAGTCACAAGAAAGTTTTCATTGTTAGCTGACATAAGTAAACTACCAATGACAACAAAAGTTTAAAACTTAATTTAACCAAATGCAGAATAGTATGCAGGCCGTTGGACCTCTCAACTAATTACAAAATGGTCAACTTAAATTTTAAATATAGAATATTTACAGTCACAAAAGAGTGTTCATTTTAATGGGGGACTTCTTTATCCTTTGTTAGCTGAAATATCACATGATTAGAAAAAATACAACACTCTGCGCAATTCAAGTACCAAAGACACGATGCACTCCATAAAGTAAAACCATCTAAGATACAAGCTAAAAAAACAACATGCAGCACATGCTATTTGACTAAAACATTAAGTTAGATTGGCCAAATCTAACGAAAGGTTTTAATCAAAAGTCAGTCAGTCTACACTCAACCAGTCAGCTGTGCCAGTTGGGTGAGACTGACTACAGTCCGTTCGCTGCCACTACTTTTATCCGCGAGCCAGTTGGGAGGGGGCCGGTTGGGAGGTTTACCCTGCTTCGCGGGTAAATTTCCCTACTGTCGGGTAATTCTACCTACTAAGTAAGGAAGTCTCCAAACCTCCAACATCACATCATTCAGTGTCGAACCTTCAACGAAGACTGTTCACATATGCTAGCTCTGTTCTGATGTTAACTATGGATAAGCCAAGTACAATCACACAAGATAAACTAAAGAGAATAAAAGAAGATTTAAAGAAATCTACTACTTCTAAAACTAGCAATTTTCGCAAGTCAATGTCACTACGTCTAAAGTTTCAGAAGCAAATTAAATTACCACTACATTGGAATGCATCAGGATCAAATTATTCTAATCAATTATCACCCGAAGCCATATGTCAAGAAATGAAGCTTCCTCAACTAGTAAGTCCAATAGAAACAGAAAAAGTAACATTTAAATATCTGTTACAAAACAAACGTTATCAATTAGTAGAACAAAGACAAAATGAAAATAGTAAAACATTTATTTTCTTTTATGACAACAAGTTTTTAGAGGTTTGCTTTCCGACACAATTAAACGTATCAAATCCTCCTGACGTTGAAGATGGAAAGCTAATTTATTTGATTCACACAAGTCAGGACACATGGAATTGGGTATAATTTACGTACAAAAGGTATCAGTCTTTCTAAAGACTCCATTATATAAACATATTTTGACCACAAAGGTTAATCTGTCAAACTATTTAACAAAATATAAACATGGTCTCCAAAACCCGTAATATACTACTACTACTAATTTTTCTAAAGATATATAAACAATATTTAATTTTACGTTATTTTTTTAGGACCTCTAACATAAGATAAGAATTATATTTGGTTTTACATTAGGCCTACCTCATTTGTGGGTACAAGATGAAGCTGCTATATCACATAGTTCCAAAACACACGCGAGCACACGATACAGCTAACGATACAGCTAACGGTAGACACAGCACCGTACAGAGAACAACACTCCGCCAGTACGTCCAAACGCGAACTGTGTGGATACTATCCAAATCTGGGTACAGCTCCGCGAAGGTTGAGTAACAAGGCCGGGCGTGGCCGCGACCCTGACCAAACTTTCGGAGGTCCAACTAACCCAATTCCGCGGCGAGCAGTGAGTCACCCATGCTGCGCCGCGCCGCGCCCCGCTGACCTTACTAGAATACTATACACAGTACTGTTGACTATGAATTTAACTAAATCCATCATTTAATTGTATAAACTGTGTTTTACTCGTTAAACAATTAAAACAGTACCCACATACGTCACAAGTGACGTACCACACCGCAACCACCTGCTCTTACGTAATTTCCTCCGAATGCCCTTTAAACTAATTAACTTTGTAACATCTGCCCGACAGCTGTTGGCGATAGGACCGCTAATACAGCACTACTTAACTCGAATATTTAGAGTTTTTTTGTTACTTTAGACCGATATTCTACTTCGCTCCACACAAAGATTTACGTGGTGACGTGAAGTTTGCCGTCAAAATGTCATTACACTAATCACGCTTGTTAATGTGCTACACGAGCTGCAAGTTTGTTTGAAATATAATACGAACCGTCTTCAACTATAGCTATATTTTGTTACAGCACATATGCTCAATTATTTCCATTAACACAGAGAAAGTTATCCTGACTAAGAAGTTAAAGTTTTTCAAGGTTGTTTAGTGTTAGTATTAGTTGACAATATTGTTTTAAAATCTGATGTATTAGAGAAACTCAAGCTAATTAGAATATTTCATTCATTAAAATGACTCTTATCGTTGAATCAAGGGCTATTTCAAACCCCGTTTTAAATGTCGACAATAATTATTACGTTGAGTGAGATTTGACTTAAATTTAATCTTAAGTGTTAAAACTCTAAGCTAAGATTAAAATTGTAATAATATTTAGAGACTTTTTATTTTATAGAAGTTAGAATTCCAATGAAGGACGTCTCTGTTAAACCCATTTTTCGCCAACCACACTTAACCGATTTATACGATTTAAAGCTTTAAACAATACAAATAGGTAGTTTGATTTAGGGCTTCGCCCCCTTAGAGTGTGATTTATTTTTCGAGTTGAAAAATCCAGTGTTGCTTACCAACTTGTTTTAATATGGTTTTAAAAGTCAATCGTAACTTAATAACCACTACTTAACTATTGTCTAATTATTGTCTTCAGTGTAATGTTTAATCACCATCAAATACTAGCCAATGATCAAAACTGTCCATGGAAATGCTAGCATTTTAGTGATAATTGTACCTGTTTGAGGTAGGTAACAAATCTTGATGGTACAGATCTACAATCAACAAAATTTAACTTATTGTAAATTAGTTCATTCTCGTAATAAGTGTCTCAAACGCAATATTTTAGAAGTAAAGTGTTAAATTGCATGTTTTTTGCCTTCAAGACATGTTTTAGACCCTACTATGCACAATTTGCGCACGAGTCTCCTAGCATTGATAGAATTAATCTCTTATTTGGTTTACAGTCTTGTTTAAACGCCATTAGTTTATTACATGTTTAATTATGCTTTATATGCATAATTGTGGAAAAACATGGAATGTGAATAAAACGCATACATTTTTATTTCCAAAATCTACAGGCGTCGGTGTGGTTAGGTTAGGTTAGATTAGGTTGGGTTAGTACGCTAAGCCAAGTACGTTTGTGGATTCTTTCAAGTTCATCCAGGGCTGGATAATCAATCTGTAAATTAGCTCTATTTGTTTTCAATTTGACATTGAAACTACGAGGCATTTGGTTCAATTGTAGAAGAAACTGATGTGTCTAGTCTATATTGGTATCTAGTAAAAAGAAAGACACTGTTGTTAAACACTCGTCGACTAAGTGTAATGTAAACATATTATCTGCAGGAAATGAGACTATTTAACTTCACTGTTTACCCACCTCTAGTTGACACTTTTGAGAAGATGAGCGGAATCCTAAAGCCACGATCGTTACAAAGATCTTTATGTGAGCTCCGTCTCTTCTTTCTGTATCTTAGTAGTGGACATTACAGCTTCACGATATGGTTGAACATTAAGGGCTGTGTTTTAAATTAGTTAATTTGTATTATACAAATTATAATTATATACAAGGTGTCCCACCTGCAGTGAACCAATAGCTAACTTTTTATTATAAGATATAGAGTTAAATTCTTACGGGGCACTCCCCTTTATTTTTTTAGATGTTTTTGGGATGGTTTTGAATTTTAAAATATGTCCGGCTTTTTCCAATATGGCCGACAACCTTGGTAGTTCTTATGGAAGACCCTGCATTTTATGATTGTTTTAGAATGGAAATGTGATTTAAAATGTTTTGAAATTCTTGCCATTTTTTTAAAAGCTACTCTTTTAGGAGTTACAACGTGTAAAACCTAAGAAAAAAAGGCTTGTGGTGTAAATTCTGCATCTTGTAGCTCATAAACGAGTAAGTTAAGAGAGAAAATGCAAAGAATAAATAATAAGTCCTTAAATTGCATCAACACTCTAATAAAATCATGAAATAATTTTAAAATATTTAAAAACGGCCATAATTTTCCAATATGGCAACAAACTTTAATTTTGGAACACTCTGATTTTATAGTCTTTTTAGGATGTAGATGCGATCTTAAGACTTATTTATTCTTTGCATTTTCTCTCTAAACCAACTTCTTTAGGAGCTACAGGATGCAGAATGTACACCACAGGCATTTTTTGTCTTCGGTTTAACACGCTGTAACTCCTAAACGAGTAGTTAAAAAAATGCCAAGAACAAAAACATTTTAAAATCACATTTCCATTCTATAACAATCATAAAATGTAGAGTGTTCCATGAGAAATAACAAAGTTGTCTGCCATATTGGAAAATGTGCCGGTCGACATCTTGGAAGGAATTAAACGTTACATTTTGAAAGCTGGTACAGTAGTCTGAATCTGGAAGGGATCAGTGATGCTCTCTGTGATGGGTTGGAATTATGGATTATGATTATCAAGCAATGGTACAATCACTGTTGCCAAAGAGACGTATTGAAACTCATAACAACCACAATTACTATAGCTAAAATTGTTAAAACATAGGTGCATAGGTGCATGACATATCAATTTGGTGAACTATATGAATAATTGATAAATTCATTCATGCTGATTGTTGATTCTGTTGGTAGTATAATAACATGTTGACGAAGGCTTCTCGTAACGATGTAATTTTTGTGTAAAGCAAAGTATCGGCTCCAAACGTTATAAAATTTCGAAGTAACAGAAAACTCAAGTATTTGGATTACGGCTAGCAGACATTTCCATATACACTGAATATATACACTGAATATACACTGAATGTTTCGTAAACAAGGTAGTAAAAGTGCAGTTAGTCTTTTTGAAAATATACATTTATGTATATTTAGTTCAACAGGTAATTTACTGTTACTTAAATAAATTAATACGAAATATAAACCAATATTAAGTTCAGAAAGACGGGCGAAGACATAATTCAAGACACATTCAGGGATTGAAAATTTCAATCAAGATAAGTTAACTTAACCTTATCGAAACAAGCAATTTATTAATCATTTTCTAAATTTAATGGTCTTGTGTTTAAAATAACAATCATATACATGAGGGTAATACTGTATACAGTTATAACAGTCTGTAATCCTTTATTTATGATACATAAGAACCTGATTATTTAACCGTCTATCCTTGTGCAGAGAATCCTCTTCACTGCGGTTGTGAACAGCAGGAGCTGTGGGAGTGGCTTAGGGATCACCAAAAGCTCGTGGGTCTCACCAAGTCTAACCTCAGGTGTGAACACCCTCCAGAGCTCCGTGGCCTCCTTTTCCTGGAACTGGAGCCTCCACGGTTCTGCTCTGCCCCTCTGGTTCTCAAACTTGCTATCCAGGACATTCAGCCTTTCAGCGTCCTCGTTTCTTGGCAAAGTCGCAACCACTCCGGCCTACATGGATATAGGGTCGCGTACCATGCTTTGGACAAGAAAGGACCTGCCGGAAGAGAGGCGGTAATATAAATTAGAATTAAGAAATAATTGTTCTTATAGACACCCGTTCTCTATTTTTGTTTTACTGGTAAATAAAATGTGTAGTTTTGTTCTTTGTAACACAAGGAGACAGTACCAGGGACCACACAGTGATGAATTGTGTTTAATTTATTTGGGAGGTTAATAAATATAAAACATTCAAAATGCAGATTTTCAACAGATTTTGTTTTTATTAAGACATTTTAATCTACCGGTATCGTAAATACTGATCTAAATACGCAGTAAAATTAATTATATTAAAAATAAAATAAAATATACTGTACATTATTTTGCCATCTGATACAGGTTTGCTTTATTTTGTATTGGCATTCAACAGTTTTTATTAGTTTAGGAATGTTACAATTAACTGTAGCATAATATCCAAATAAATTAAGATATTACATTCATAACTGCTTATTTAAGTTTCTATTTATGTTATGTTCAGCATTCAGCTAATATGCAAAACTATTATCTGGCCGGTCACAGCCACAGTCTGAAAAAAAAAATACTTCAACAAGGTTTAGAAAGGAAAGTATGGACATGGGTGTAATTTGAGTTTATAGTCATATGCATGACAAACTCAAATCAACATAATTTTAACATTTGATGAAGGTTGCCACGTAAATAGGGTAGTTTTTATTGGCATTCGATGGTTTTATTTTCAAAAGTAGCTTAAAACCATAAATAAATTTATATTAATAAAGTGTCACCGACAAATATTTTTAAATACATTTTGTAAGTGAGATATGGATTTGCAAATATTTTCTATAAAAAAAAAAACACACTGTATTTCCCTAAAAGACCTCTTCAATGCCTCAGGATGAAATAGGATATAAAATGAAACCTTTTTGTATTAAAGTGTTTTATTAAATAAAACACTGAAATGGAACATACAAAAAACAAAACAACGAATTCCTTCAATTCGATTCCAATCATTATTAACATTAATTTTTAATCAGTTGCAATAGGTTATTTGAATGAAGACATATTCAACTTAAGTAACATTTAAAAACAACAATACTTCACTAAAACGCAAAGATTTTAATTATTTAGCCATTTGAGTTAAATTATGGAAAAATATGAGGGTTGTTTGGGCACTTGAACATTATTTTTGAATTTACAACAGATGCGGTTTCTATGTAAAGTCAGTTTTAAACCATACAATTTTGGAAAAGAATTCTGTTAATGGTCTTGAAGTTATTCTAATGTAATTGCATAATAATTAGGTGTTTGAACAGTCTTTTTCACATGGAGTATACAATTAAAAACATGTTTGTTGCTAAACTTATAATTTCCTTACTAATAACTCTTTAATTTACTAGCCAAATTGAATATTTTTTAAGCTGGACTATTAATACAAGGCTTAATATTATGATGGCGAATCTCATACCATATTGTACATTTTATAGTCTTATAGAGTTATCTTTGACCAAACCGCTCTATCGTACAAACGTATGCTAGGCTTACAGAAATTGTAATGTTTATGATGTAATTTTTATTCAAAATCAATAGATTTCAATGAAAAATCTACTCATTTAAATATATTTGAATCTATTAAAAAGTAAGAAAGACAAAATAGTCATTGGAAACTGCACTAAAGCCCTCTGATTACTTAAAATAGATGAAAGCTAAATAATGTAGTTTCAAAGGCAAAATTTAAAGGTTTGCGAGATGTATTTTACGGTATGCTCTAAAGGTTATGTGCTATGATTTAAAAGTTTGGCATTAGTTTTCACACACAACAACATTTAGGATAAGACTTATTAAACAGTTAGTTATGTTTAAACAAAAAAATAAATTTAGCCTAGAACTCTAGTTAAACTCATATTACAAACATTTTATAGGTTTTACTTGGAAACAATCTTCATTCTCGATTTGACAAGGTTTAATGGAGTTTCTATTCCATGAACGAACCCTACTGTGGAACTACACTATTACAAGCTTGTAATAAACTTATGTTGCGATTCTTTCGTTTACGTTTTCTTTGTTATTTTGAAAACCATCAGGGTTAATTGGCTACCCATTACAGCAAACGTTAAACATATTTAAATGTTATTTGAAGTTGATATATAATCAATCTAGTGTCAATTAATAATATTCTATTTTCCTATATTTTAATACCAGCTGATTGGTGAATTATTTATTGTTTTTCTTTGTGAGTCAGTTGTACAATTTAATGTTTTCAGTGTTTGTACATTTTACAATGTTCAAATATATTTCTCAAATGTTTAAAGTTAACTTAATTTAGACACAATAGAAGTTTTTAACGATTCGAGAATTTTCCAAGAACAGAGTCTAGCATGGATCTGATTTTAACCTAAAATTAAGATTTTTATAGCAGTTTAAAGTAAATTTGTATATCAGTTTTTGAAAGCCTTGGTCGTGTATGTGTTTATACGTGCAAACCTTCTACCGTTTCTACCGTTAATTCTACCAGGAGTGCGCGGTATACTCGAGGTTTCCAGAAGACGTTGGATTTTTTAAAAGCAATTCATTTGCACATCGCTTAAAAGTAAATTAATATTTTAGCCATAACAAAAAATGTTGTCTTATTTATGTCTTTCTTATTAAAGTGGATATTTCTTTCTGAAATCAAAACTTTAATTGATTATTATTTTCAAAATATCTTATATTAATATACATTCTTGAAGTGTGTTCAGAATATCTACTAAAGAATTTAATATTCATACCTTATTGTTGGTTTATCATCGCTTTAGCTTCTCAAGTTAAGTCGTTGAATATATAATTAATTCTAATTGAATATATAAATCGATTCTATATAACTAATTCTTTTTTTATTACAAACGTTAGAGGTACTCCTTTCGAGTAATTAAAAAAGAATGTGTAAGCAACATAGTTTAATGAGACATTGAAAATGGCCTAAGGTGTTAATAACATCATCGCAACTTTATAGAAAAAGTATATTGAAAATGCATTATCAAAGAGAATAGTGTGTTTATTATCCTCTCTTCGTGTTATTTATCAAGTCCAACCAACGTTTTATTTTCAGGTGCGTGGAAAGTTCCTGGACAGATCAGCAAGGTCAGTGAAACTGGTCAGGCTGTTTCCGGATACTCGCTATCTGATCTGTGTTCTTGGGCTGGGCAGTTGGGGCCCACCCCTCAGTCGCCAGCAGGCCAACATGACCGGTGAGGTGCTCTTGGGGGACCCTGTGCCACACCTCACTGACTCCCAGATGAGCCGGTGTACCGAGGTGAGACTTGGTACTCATATACAATAGTACCAATAATACTGGTATATATATGGTATAGTACCATATACAATACTGGTATACAATAAATTACTATAAATAAATAACAGATAATAAATAATTTAGGGGCCCCCTTTTTAAATAGAAATCTTTAAAAAATTTTAATCAGTCCAAAACACTTGCGGTTCTTGGCGGCACAATACACAGTAGTCCCGGATGGGAGGCTTGTTTCGGCTGCTGTCTTCGGAGAGGGTCGCCCGGGGGAACATACCATCTTCTTCCTCCTCGGGCTGCCAATGATACCAAGGTGGACGATTTGTTTGAACTATTCATGAACCGCAACAAAGGAAGATGTTAACTGTTATTGGTGTTCAGGTGCGCACTCTGGAGGGGGAGGAAGGTCTAGAGAACCAAGACCGTGGGAGAGGATCCATCCTGACTCGTCGTCTGGGTCTGATCGTCGGCAGTTGCATGGGGTTTGTCGTCTTCATCGTCCTGGTCTCCGTCCTGGGCTATCTAAAGCTAAAAAAACAGAGGGAATGTGCTAAGAGAGAACAGCCAGGCCCTGCAGAGTATCTCTCCTACAGACACTTCTCTCTGCAGACCGCAGACCCTCTAGGACCCTCCTAGCATATTGCCAATCCCTTGGAAACCTCCACCAAGGGATGTGACCTGTACATTTAACCCCTGCATTTGTGTAAGTTAACGTATGCAGCACGATCAAGACTATACAATTGTTTGCTAAAAATGTGTTACTAAGGATCTATTTTGTCAGGACTGGGATTTTAAACAAATGATTCCATCTTATAGATAAAATATTTAAGTACGCTTCGTATTTGATCGAATATGTTATTTTCAGAATAGAGCTTTTAATGATTTTACTATTGTAGCTACGTTATATTGACCCGTTTAGTGTTAAAAACACATTTTGAAAATTATATTCGTGGTGCAAAAAGGTGGTAAGACGCAGTGTGTATCGTCATAGCCGATCTATAGCTGAGATATTTACTCAATTAACAGGATTGTTTGTCTAAGCACTGCCAAAACTTTAGTTATGACATTTCTATGACGTCTGCGGGATTTTTCATAAAAAGTATGTTAGGTGGTAGGTTGTTTATTTATACATTTTTGAGATGAAATACAAGCTGTACAAATGTTGAAGGAGTCACTTAATTCTTCGTAAATCGTTATGTTTTAAACTAGCTTGGCTCCTGTTTTGAACATGTGTATATCTGGAATTAAAAAATGTAATGGTAGGTCGTGGATGTCTACGGATTTTTGATTGACTTAATTCAGACATGCGTCCACTAGTTTTATGACAACGTGCCAAAGTGAGTTAAATTGACTTTAAAATGTATTGTTAATATGTAAAAAACTACTTTCGACCCAATTAAATTATTTCTATATTTTACTTTACTGTTCCAAATTAAACATACGAGAGTTATGATTATTAGGTTTAAATTTAACTATTTAAGGTGGTGTGCTATTTCATGAACTTAACCCAATTAAACATGTAGGTATCTATAAACCGTAAAGTGTAGAACTGACGATAATTCCTATCTAGGGGATTGCAACAGTTAGCCTACGGTAAAAGATAGTCGTAGTCACTACTTTTAACCTCACCGAGTCCACGTTTTATATAATATTATGTGTTTGTATTTTTAGTATTTATTACCGTACGATAAGACGATGGTGTTATGTAATATATTTAGTAAAAGAGATCTGTGTACAGTTATTTGTAAGGTTTTGTGCTTAAGACGAAACGGGTAGTATCCGAGTTTGAACGAACATGAAACAAACATCCTATAAAGAGAAATTGTAACAACACCAAATAATACGTATAATACATTTTAGTAGACTGTTTTATTTATTCTTTAAGGATATGTATACTTTTTCATTATTGTAAAAATAAATGTAATTTAGGGACATCATATAGATATGTCAAGAATTTACTCTCAGCTTATGTGTATAAATGTTGTGAACCTTAATGTATATATTTGCTCAATTGTATGGATACTAACAAAGATATGTATTTAAATGTATCCAATTTTTAATAGTTTGGGGAAAGGTCGGGTATTTATACATAGCAGTGCTTTTTTAAATTCAAAATACGGAACTAAGCAAATTTCAAAAATTTAATCTTTTCTTAAAACTTTTCCGTCGCTCATATAGTACAATATCAGTCTACAAATTTACCATATGATAATAGGGTAAATATATAATGCATATTGTAGCTATTGTTCTCATACTTCAATGGCCAATTTTCAATTAGGACGAATATTGTTTATGTTTATCATAAAACAGTACATAACTAATTATATTTTTATTTGTATTAGCTATCTAAATGTTGTATTTTTGTCGACTAACTAAAGTTTTTAAATAGAATAAATTCGCTATTTTAAAAGGACATAATTATTTAAAATGGTGTTAATATCACTAACAATTGTTTGTGTATGAGGTCCTATTGTTTATAATTTTTACAACGGAATTTCTATACAAAATTATTAAATTAATAATTAAATAACGCAACAGTATAAAATCCCTATGTCGAACTATATGGATTGTTCAATGTTACGGCATGTTTAAATATTGTTTTATTAACTCATAAATATTTAAAAACAGGCTAAAACAGTTCATACTGTATTTTTTAAAGTCTTTATCATGAAGGATTTATTAGAACAATTGCTTTTAATAAAACAATAGATATTTTAAAAATGCAATTGTTTTTTTTAAACAAAAAAAAGTCTGTGGCTAATTTTCATGTGTTGTATATTTTTTCAAATTATCTAAATGATTATAGTCTTGGACAAAAACAGCTTGTAAATACATGTTGTCTTTTACGTATTCACAAAAATCAGATACTTGTTTTATCGTTCCAATTTCATGATTGCATACATAGAATATTTGCAGTTTATCAAAGTAAATAACATTAGTACAAGTTATTCAAGAGATTCGTGAAATATATTTTTTTATTTAAGAGTTTATAACGACGTAGAATAATTTTAAATACTATACATGTTTCAAGCAGATGTCGCATTGTATTTAAAATATGTAACAAAAACATAAGTGTAATAATGTAGGTAGCGATTGTTATTGAACGTAAAAGCAAATTTATTTTATTCATTGCTGTGTGACTGTTGAATTTGGTAACTATTGTACTCCTATAAAAACTGTTACGTTTATTAACTAATAAACTGGTATCTAATGTTGATATTGTGCTTTAAAACTATCCCATATTTTCTAATAATTATAAGTTGAGTATTAGATTCCAAACTGAGAGACACATTAGTCAAGAATGTAGTGCAACTTGATGAAAACCCCCACCGCAGCAAACCTGCAGACTAAACGAATGTCGATTTGCCTGATTTGATTTTCAATTAAATCTATTTGAATAATATTATATTTAACGAGTACCTAGGTTTGCTGCTACAGGGAGGGTGGTAAAATGTTTTTTTTTGAAAATATTAAAGCTTAATATAAAATAAATAAATCGACCAAGTTTGATCAAAATATAAACAAGCTAACTACAACAGTTGACTTATTCTCTATAAGAATAACATGGGTATTTTAAATTTACAATTGTTTGGATGTTCTCCGAAACCAATAACCGTACAAAAACATTTCAGGATATGTACCAAATTTTTTTTCAAGCTCTTCAAAATTATTTAGAGAGAAATTCAGATATTTATGTCTGAGGGTCAAAAATGAGAAACACCAATTTTCACCCCATAAATCCTGTTTCTCGTGGTCCGAGCATGCTGGTTCGCGAACTCATTCAAATAAATGTAGCTTTAGACGTTGGTACCAAATTTAATACAAATCGGATTATTTTTGCTTTGTGTTTATGCTTGTTTTGCTTTAATTGTGCTAACGGGCTACTATTTTGATATTAAAAATTGTCTAATAAAATGAGTTTTAAAAGGGTAGGCTAGGTATTTAGTTTTCAATAATGTATTTAAATATATATTTGAAACTGAACATATGGTGTTTTGGGGCTCTGGGGTCTTCAAAACGAAAAAGCAAGTCGGTCCCGGGTCCAGGTATTAACATGAGATTTAGGGTAATAGCGTATTCCCTATATGAGAAATTCGCTAACAACAAGGTTAACCCTCATGCAGTATAAATTTGTGAGTTTAAAGTAGGCTTGTTTATACCTTTCTTTACTAGGCATTTTATTGGTGTCTGTGTTTGTATTTCGACCAATGTAGACTTTCAAGGTGGACTGGTTGTGTGCAATAGTTGGTGGTTAGGTTACATACGTAGATTGCGTCGTCACTAACCATACAGTACATGATGCGTATTGTAATTGATTTGTATAAATTTTGACCCTATTAAACCACAAAGCTCACATAGTTACAAGTATATCTACCCGCACTGAACACTTGATACAGTTCAAGTGCATTGTTGTTTGCAATTAGCTCAAGTTGAACACCGCTTATCGGTGGTGGGAGGTTTATTACGGAAATCTTGGATGTAGTTACCAATTCTCTTTACCTCGTAGGTACCTTCAAGAGTCATAAAGCTCAATTTGTCATTAAATAGCAGATAGTTATAAGAGACATATTTATAGCAAGAATACATCATAATCAGTCTATAATACGTGGGAAAATATTTCTACAAACTTCTGAAGAAGAGCCCAGCCATAACTCTTAGAGCCTTCTGCCATATGAAAGCATCTTCAGATGAGGGTGAATTCCCTTAGTGCCGCATTCCGTATAATAGATGAAGAACATCATCTTCGGGAATGGTGATGTTCTTCATGTAATAAAAAAAATGTCTTTATTAAGCGTTTCTCTGGTACACCAGGTTTTCAGAAAAACTTTCGTCACTATCTTATTCTACTATTTGGCCGTTATACACTTCTACAATAATTACAATTTTTTTAAAAACATATCCTTAAGTTTTTCTTTAAATGTTTTGCTAGATGCAACAACCTTCAGGCCGTCGGGTAGACCATTGTACAACGAGGGACCAAAATATGAGAAGCTCTTCCTCCCAAGCTCTAGAGAAACTCTTGGGAGGTGAAGCCACCCTCCCTGACGTGTCCTGCGCTGGGAAACCTCATCACGAAGAGAAAGCCTCTCGCGTAAATAGTCGGGCTTACAAAGAGACAACACTCTGTGGGTCATGCAGCACGTCAACAACCTGCACATGGCTTCAACGGGAAGCAGACTAGCTACTTCTCGAAAGGGAGAGACATGATCAAATTTTTTCAAACAGAAAATGAAACGGATTGTCGAGTTTTGGAGACATTGCAACCGATGCATGTCTTCCCAAGAAATGCTGTTGCCATATGCAGGGAAGCAGTAGTAAAATACTGACAGTATTAGTGACTGCACGAGCTGAAGTTTTGCAGCCTCAGACAACAAGCCTCTGGACCTATACAAGCCTCTTAGTCTCCCTAAGGCTCGCTGGGAAACAGAGGTGATATGATCGGAGAAATTCAGGTGAAAGCACCTCATATACAAGGTGTCCAGTCATAAGTGTTAAGTAAAATCTTTTTCAAACTACATGATAATGGTGATTGAATGATGCCTATTTGAGGTCCCCAAACAGTAAGAGGATAAAAGATAAATTAAAAAAATGGTAGTTATTATGAAAAAACGTATACTACTATGTAGGAATCACATGTATTGTTAAAATAAAGGTGATTTTTGAAATCCTCATAAAACTTTTAATAAGAATACTGCAAGACATGTACGATATGTGCAACTTTTTAAAATTCTCACAACTCAAATAAGAAAAACATTATAAATTCAAAAGTACATAGTTTAAAAGAAGATTAAACAGGAAAATATTCATTTTTAATCCAACATCTGTGATTTCTCTAATAAGTATTTGGTCATAGCTTTATAGTTGTATTGTTGCTCGTATGTTGAAATTTACATAATTTTACAACGTCTTAATATACAGGGTTAGGCAAAAGTCTGGAACCCCCCAGTTTACTTTTTAACGCGTTGCAGTATGAAAACCAAAGTCGGCACATATTTACAACATAAGAAATAGCACTTTTCCATTAACGTTATAACTTTGCCCCAGCCCCCAAAATGGGGTATTTTGGGGGCAGCCCAAAATTTTCTAATGTAAACACCTATCATGTGACCCCTCATTGTAAAGGGTTTATCAAGAGAAATTGAATGGCGCAAACCAGAGGTCAATATTGCACCCCTAATCAAAATGGCAGCCATTTTAATTTAAAATGAGCAAGCAAGATAAAGTCTGGACACCCCCAGTTGGTCTGAAACCAAAGTTGTCCGAAAATAAAAGGTGGATAGTTGATGAAATTATTCATGGATGTCACTAAATAATTGCAGATCACCACCTGAGATTAAGTAATTTAAAGAATTGTATTAGAGGACACATACAAAACAATTACAATTGTACTAAGGGAGACATACTGGACAATTATTCAACTCAAAAAAGAAATCATTTGAATGAAATAATCCAATAAAAATCAACTAATGCTAACATAAACGGTTTTGAAAATTGTGAATACTGAAACTAAAAGGAAAAAAGAAAACACGTTTACTAATATCATAATCAAGCAGAAAGACTTAGAAATAGAATATGCCTTTTCTAATATATTAAACGATCACTTTTCTAATATGGTTGAAAATTATGTTTTACCACGAACACAATAATAAATTGTAATCTAGTTATGAAACCCACTTTGCATGTTTTTATCAACTTCATTAATACAAGTGTTTATTCTGCTTAACTAAACATTTCAAAAATAATTCCAGTATACAAAAAAGGGTGACAAAAATATCCCCTTGACGTCAGACCTATAGCGATTCTATCAGCAATATCGAAACTATTTTAGAAATGTATTCTTATTTAGCTAGTGGATTATTTTGAAGAAAAAGGCTTATTGGACAAAGAACAACATAGGTATAGATATATAATTCTACTTTTAACAGCATTATTATTTTATATTGAAAATGTGTATGTACAAAAATTGGATGAGAACAACACGATTGTTGGTGCTTTTTTGGACATCTCTCAGTTACCCCTCTCAGTTAATGAAACTTAAGATGTATGAAATTAGAGGTAAAGAGTTAAAATGGATTAAAATATTTTTAGAGGGCCGTCTATAATATGCTTTAGACATTTGAATGGTAACCAAATGTATTATGTTTAGTTAGATAAGTAAAATATTCCGAACCATGACAGTGTTGGGTCATTTCTGTTGTTATGCCCCTTGGAAGGGGTGTTTAAACACTCATCTCACGACATACATACCAATACCTTATGTTTGTATGCAGATATATGTAATCTGCGTTAAAGATAATGAACTTCTTGAAATGCAAATTAATTATTCTATTTCAAAACTGAAAGAGTAGTTAAATTAACAACCTTATACCTAACTAATTTAAATAAAACAACCTTCGTTAAATAAGAACCTATAAACTCAAAATACCTTTTTCTGATAATCTCCTCAAAATTCAAATTTATAGGTTTAAAATTGATAGTACACTCTATTGAACCTCACATGTTGAGAATATTTAAAAAAATAGCTATGAACTTT